ACACTTAAATATAATAATATTGAATAACAAATTAAATTAAATAATAAATAATTATAATAATAATAAAAATTATTTCTTAATATATACGATATAACACTAAAACAATTTACAATTCGTTTATATATATAGGGATTTTTTCTCATTTCGATTTTGTAAGCATTAACGGCTTATAACTTTGATTATTATTTGTTTAAATATTTGTTCTTTGTTTGTTTGTCCAATTTGAATATAACATTAATTATTTTATAGTATTTATTTGTTTAATATAGATATTTTTTGGTTGCTTTTTAAATTTTCTCTAAAGCCAATTTATTTAATAAATATAATTTAAAGGGGGATAGGAGTAGCGTATATATAGTATAATGATAATAGATTTCAATTTCCAATTTTGTTTTTGATATAATTTTTCTTGTTGTTGTTATAATTTTCAGATATGATAACTAATTGCTAAAGGGTTTTAATGATTTGTTTGTTCGCTTTGTTTTCGCTTTTTTTAGAGAAATGAAACGGTAATTTGAATATTTGTTTGTTTGTTAGATTTATCTATATGGTATTATTTATATATAGTAATAAAGTTTATAAATATTTTTGTTATCTTTATTGGTGTAATAATCTTGATTTGGTAACAACAATTGTGTTTAGTAAACAGTTTTTTTATAATTATTATGTGTTTTTTTGTTTGTTTGTATCAGAGTTTTATTTGTTTTTCATTTTTAGTTCTATAGTTATTATACACTGAATCGTTTATAGTTTTAGATATAGTATTATTTTTGTTTTGTTAAGGAATGTTTATGTTTTTTTTTAATAAATTACTTTTAATTTTAGTTGTTAATTTTGTTTTTAATTTTTATTAGCATTAAAGATTATTTTTCAATATTGTTAATATTAGTTGTTGTTGTTCTTGTTTTAATACCGGTTTTTTAGTAAATGCTTTTGTTACAAAAATTTGCTGTAAAATTCTATGATTTTCTTTGTGTTTGGTTATTTCTTTCTTTATTTTCTAGAGAAATGCATTCATTTGTGGTATATTTTGCCATTTAGGTGGGTCTTATTTGCAATGCCTTTAGTAATATTGAACATTTTTTTTTTTTGTAATTTTTAATCCTACCCTCTTCAGACGTTATAGTTGGCGTGCGAACTTCAATAAATATGAATATTTTGCTCATTCAAAACCAAGTTCCTATTTGTAATTTCTAGGTCAATTTGTAATCAAGGACATGAACAATTGGCAGATGAATAATAATAGATTGGAAAATTATTGGAAAATTCTATTGATTTGAATTACTGTCATATCTTCGAATTGAACAAATATTTTCTTCTCTTAGCATATGTTATGTGTATATGAGAATGAACAAGACTATTAGATGATCGACATCGATATATAGGTGTTATTATCTGATATCACTTGCGGATAGATCACACTTTGCCTTTTTTATATCATCGAATATGTGTATATCTGAGATACATATTGTGGAGTAGCTTCGAAATAAAATATATATGTTAGTCATTTTTAAACGTATTAAATAATATTAACTCGAATGGGGGTATGCCAAAACATGGATCTATATAGAACACTTTCTGGATAAATGTTTTTCATCTTTCGAGAACCCGAAATAATAAATTACAGCCTCTTTGTTTGTAAAATCAAAAAAAAAAAAAAAAAACAATGTTCACAATACCGAAAATTTGACGGTATTATTATATGGAGCCTTTATAAAAACATGAACCCTATATTGGTTTACAAAATTCTTCAGTGGGATTGATAGGGGGACCTTTATATGAGGTCTATGTCAACACATGAAAATACATTTCCAAATATTCTTCGAAAATGATTTTCATAGTCACTTCGTTTTGAAAATGTCCATAGAACTATCAGACCACCTATAATGGGGAGGTAATTTTATTACAGCAGAATACAGTCAAATAATTTAAAAAAATGCGAAATGCCCAAAAGGTGCGAACTTTATATAAGGATTTTGTTCACAAATGGACTATAATTATGTATATTTCTGTGTAAAAGTTTTCATTATTCAAGATGTCAAGAAAATATGCACAGTATAATACATTTCAACACATGAGAACCCTTGTTAGTGTAGCACGGGCAGACATATTTAATATTAGGTTAGGGAAAAAGAAATCCATTATTTTATCGGAGAAATGATCGAAGTTGAACGGCATGTTTGGGTTCCACACCAATTAACAGAAAAAATAGGATGGATCGAATTTTTATCAGCAAAGCCTTGATCAAACGGAATGAGATAGACTCATTTCATAAAAGGATGGTGACTGGAGATGAGAAATGGAGCACATACGATAACCCTGTGCGAAAACGATCGTGGTCAAAGAGCGGTGAAGGTGGCCAAACCAGGAAGGTTCTTCTGTGCATTTGGTGGGACTGGAAGGAGATTATTTATTATAAGTTGCTTCCATATGGTCAAACGCTAAATTCTGATCTCTACTGTCAACAACTGGACCGTTTGCAGATAGCAATTGACCAGAAACGGCCAGAATTGGCCAACAGGAGAGGTGTCCTGTTCCACCAGGACAATGCTAGGCCACACACATATACAGTGACTAGCCAGAAACTTCGGTAGCTTGGTTGGAAAGTTTTAGTGCATCCGCATTCAATGCATCCATACAGTCCGTACTTGGCACCAAGCGATTATCATATTTTTTTTCATTGCAAAATTGCAAAAAAAATAATATGTCTTATCGAAATATTGGGTTAGGTTCCGAGTTCTTTTGGAAGAAATCTGTTTCAGAAATTTGATGTTGAAAATTTCCGTCACATCGTAATATTTTTTCCCAACTTAAATCACGTTCGAATATCGGTGCACTCCTTCTGAAGCCTCCCACAGAAAAACAACGGATCATCCAATTTCATTCAATCATAATAGGGGACCTATCAGAGGAGTAATCCTTTTGGTGCCTCTCCAAAAGTGGTTCAAATTTTGAAAAAAAAAATAATTTGCAATATCAAGCGTATGGAGTGTCCGATTTGATCCAAACTTGACAGACCTTTATATTTCTACCCTCCACCACAAAATGGAGTGTATATTAGAATTGTCATTCCTTTTGCAACATCTATGACAGAGCTCTGAAAGTTTACACATCATTGATAATACTCCTAGGATGTTTGGTATTGCAAATGGGATACATCGGTCCACATTTTGGCGTAGTCCACATATAACGATACCTCCCAATATTAGGTTTTGCATATTTTCCAACCATTTTGGCTGAAATTTGAATTCTCATTGACTCTCAAATGTCACTGTCTAAAATGATCACGTATAAAAAGTTCAGCCGTTCCGAAATTAACATCGTGTTAACTTATTTAGGGTTAATGATGCCTTATCGATATATTTGGTTAGGTCCCAAGTTCCTTTGGACGAATGCCGTTCCAGAAATTTGGAGTGGACTTACAAATGATGAACCTAACCTAAATCACGTTCGAATATATGCCCACTACTTCTGATACCTCACACAGAAAATGGTCAACATTTTGCAAAAATTATTTTATAATAGAATGTATAATCCATTTCTAATTTCATTCAATCATAATAGGGGACCCATTAATCTAAAAAATGTTTAAAAACATATCAATGGGGTATCCGAATTGATCCACACTTTGCACATCGTAATGAATTTGAATGGGGTCTACAAGGCTTCTTCTTCTGGTACGCCTGACAGTGGGTCCATTCAAGTGTAAAGCGAATGAGGAATTTTGTGGGGTCTAAACTTGGCAGAACTTTATTTTATACTAATTATAGATTTAGTGTAACTATCGGCTATAATATTCATCATCGCAAATACTTCCCCCACACACTGTCACAATTTTAAACATTTTAATCTTAATAAAATGTTTCTCTATCTCCACACTAGACTGTGGTTACACAAACAGGTTATTTTATGCTCAAATTAATATGATGTTCGGTTGAAAAAATATGTAGGAGTTATATCGAAGTTTGAACCGAATTAAACAAAACTTAACAAACGCCATTTTTGTACTCAATTCAGTATGTTGTTCAAAATGTTTCCTTACGCAAAAATTTAGAAATTTCTATTACAAACATAATTTTTGTACAATCCTTCAATTTTAATGAATATAAAATACCTTCTTACCTATTTTTTTTTTCAAATAATTAAACTTAGATAATTAATTATGTAAATGTCCGCGAACACCAATTAGGGGGTATGGATAAAATTTTCCTCAATATGATCCACAAGCTAATGAATGATGTTTTAAATATATCGATATTTATGGATGTACTACTGAATATTGGGAAGGCATAAAGACATATGGGGAGAGACAGAGAGAAAGAAAGGAAGAAAGTTTGATGAGTTGACTGGGATGTGGATGGAGTTGATGGAAAAATAATCATTTTATTTTCAAAACCAAAAAAACAAAATCATGCATTTCTCTTCTACAGGCAATAAAAACATACAAAAAAATTGTGAATTAAATTTGATTGTTTTAAGCTCAATTAAAAAAAGTAAATAATATTTATGTATAGATGTAATAGCATTTGTATATATAATACATAATTCATTCCATTATGGTTGTCGGTTTTTGTTAACATTGTGCGATTTGGAAAAAACACTTAAAAAATTTGTGCTAAAGATTCCTTAGGTAGAAAAAAAGTTCTTTACAAATATCTTCATTATAATAATTATTGTATAGAGTTGTCATTTTGTGCAAAATGTTTCAAAATTTGTTGTTGTTTGTGTTTTTCTGTTTTGTAATCGTACACAAAAATACATGGGGTCTCTTCGCCCCATGCTTCTACAGAGACTAGAATCGTTTAACTTTTTTGTCATTTCATTTCATATTTTCTTTGACTATTTTTTTGCTTTGTCGTTATAGTATTTTTGGTAGCTAATAATAAATTAAATTTGTCTTGGTCTATTGCCTTAAATCTATGTTATCATAGTTGTCATTAATATATGTATATTCTTTAATAATATTAAAAATAAAAAAATAAATAAAAAATCAAATTCTTTTTAAAAGTCTTTGAAAGTTATTGGGGGTTTGGTCATCTTACGCTTCTTGAGTTTTACTGCTGCTAGCCGAAGCCTTCGGCTTGGAATAATCCAAGCCCTGTAGTATGCTGTGATTGAGTGTGGAGAGTGGTGTTGAGGTTATACCATCTCGCAGGGCCAATTGATATGCCACCTCAAATGCTTGTCCCAATGTTAATATTATATCGGAGGCTAAGTCCTGTGGCGGAAGAACAAATTATTGTTAATATGATATTTTTACCAAAATCTACGCAAATACTCTACGTTTTTGCTTCCTGAAAAATAGTTTAGTAAATATATATATATATATATATATATATAAATTCTACGCTTTTGGTATTCTTACACAACTCGACCCCTTTTATTTCCTTTAAAATTTACTTTAAAATTCTTTAATTTTTTTTTTTAATTTACGCTTTGGATTTTCTTTAGAAAATATTTTTTAAATAGCATTTTAAAAAAAATTTGAAATTATTTAAAAACCAGTGAGCGGAGCAGTATATTCGGACGGGGCGGACCCTACACAACTACCACGGAACTCTAACTTATTGCAGATCTATATCTATTTGCACCCTCTTAACCGATTAGAGGTCAATAGCTCCTATTTCTTGCCATGACACCTTTTTCGATAATATCCATTTTTTTTATTTTACACAGAAAAGTCTTGGTTGACTTGACCCGCTGAATAGTGACAGATCATTACAAAAGCCCATCAAATTAGTTGGCCAGATTCATTCTCCAGTGTAACATTCTGCTTATAATTGTGGCATATAGATCGACATGATCATCACCGCAAATTATAGACGTTGTCCTTTACCATAACCGGAACCTCATGGAAACTTTAAAAGCGATCAGCGCTATATTTCCGCCTTCTAGTGTGGTAATGGGTTACTAAATAATATCTCAGTACGTAAGTACCTGTAAATATTTAAATGTAACTCCCACATCCGAGTACATACGACAATATAATAGGTATCCATTTAAAGGTCAACCACTCCTCTTGGATATGCTATCAACTTCTCGGGTCTATGTTCTTCAGGTGTAAATATATATGCCATGGAATACAAATTTTGTCATTTTTCACACAAAAAATATATTTTTTATCAAAACAATGCTTACGATCCCCTTCTCCATGCAAAAATTCGCGGTGTTTGGGCCATAATTGCGGCCTCTGGAGCGACCAGTAAAACCGATAAACATAAAGTTTTTGGTCCATTTCATCCCCTAAATATTAACCTATCTTTTCCAAAAACAATAGGGGTCTTCATTGGCCAGAACCCATGCTACATGCAAAATTTTTTTAAACTGTGGCATTAAAATTATAATGGGCAGACGGACGGATAGACTTAAGAATATGATTTAAAAATATGATTAAAAAAGATATTAAAACATAGTGGTGTATTTAAAAATATGATTTAAAAATATAATTAAACAAATTATTAAAAACATTTAAAAATATGAAAAAATTATTAAAAAAAATATTTTTTAAAAAATTTACGCCTTTCTTGTTCTTTATTTTTTTTTAATGTACGTTCTTTGTATACTTTATTTTTAATTAAATCTTCGCTTTTCGCATTCTTCACAATTTTTTTAGGAAAATCTAAGCTTTTCGTATTCTTCAAATTTTTTTAAAAAATATTTTTTTAAAAAATCTACGCTTTTCTTCAAATTTTTTTAGGAAAAAAGCTTTTTTTTTAAAAAATCTAAGCTTTTCGTATTCTTCAAAAAATATTTTTTAAAAAATCTACGCCTTCAAAAAAATAATTTTTAAAAAATCTACGCCATCAAAAAAATAATTTTAAAAAATCTACGCCTTCAAAAAAATATTTTTTTTTTAAATCTACGCCTTCAAAAAAATATTTTTAAAAAAATATAGGCCTTCAAAAAATATTTTTTAAAAAACCTACGCCTTCAAAAAACTATTTATTAAAAAATCTACGCCTTCAAAAAAATATTTTTTTTAAAAAATATAAGCTCCAAAAATTTTTTTTAAAAATATAAGCTTCAAAAAATATTTAAAAAAAATCTCGACTTCAAAATAATATATTTTAAAAAAATCTACGACTTCAAAAAAATATTTTTTAAAAATCCACGCCTAAAAAAAATATTTTTTAAAAAATCCACACCTTCAAGAAAAATTTTTTAAAAAAACGCCTTCAAAAAAATATTTTTTTTTAAAAATACGACTTCAAAAAAACATTTTTTTTTTTCAAGAAAATATTTTTTTTAAAAAATCTACGCCTTCAAAAAAACATTTTTTAAAAAATCTACGCCTTCAAAAAAATATTTTTTAAAAAATCTACGCCTTTCAAAAAATATTTTTTAAAAAATATAGGCTTTCAAATAAAAATTTTTTAAAAACTTTTTAAAAAACTATTTCTAAAAAATCTACGCCTTTCAAATAAATATTTTTTTTAAAAAAATCTACGACTTCAAAAAAATATTTTTTTAAAAATCTACGACATCAAAATAAGCTTCAAAAAATATTTTTTGAAAAACCTAAGCCTTAAAAATATTTTTTTTTAAAACCAACGCCTTCAACAAAATATATTTTAAAAATTTACGCCTTCAAAATTTTTTTTCTTAAAATGAACGCCTTCAAAAAATATTTTTTAAAAAATCTAAGCCTTCAAGAAAAAATTTTTTAAAAAATTTACGCCTTCAAAGAAATATTTTTTACAAAATCTACGCCTTCAAGAAACTATTTTTTAAAACTTCGCCTTAAAAAATAATTTTTAAAAAATCTACGCCTTCATAAAATATATTTTTTTAAAAATTCTACTCCTGTGGTATTCATCAAAAATATATATTTTAAAATTTTTTTACAAATATTTCATATCTACGCATCTGGGTATTTTCCAAAAAAATATTTTTTTTAAGTCAGAAACTTGCCTCCCATTGTCACTTACCTGACTCTCCACATAGAACACGTGACAATAGTGTATTTCATTTTCCTTGGTTATGTAGGCGAAATGTCTTAAATCATCCGCATCTTGACATGCACAATTTATATTCTGTATCTCGTGTTCACAAATTGTATTCTGCAACAGAAACAAAACAAATGATACAAATTCATATGTCACTCAGTTGAGATATTCAAAAAAGAAGAGAGTGCGTGCGTCTGTTCCCCTCCCACTCCTTACCTTAGTATTCACATCCAAAAATTCAACACCATGATGCGAGATGGCCAGTGTCACAAGAATGCGTTTCTGTTTGTTAAATGATTGATTACGGGCAGCATTGGTTTCTGACTGGGAAGACATTAACATGTTGGTAGCAGTCGTATGTTGGGCGTCTTGTTTTAGTTTTTGTATGGATTTGCGGGTCGATTCGGTACCGCGCAGCTCCTTCACAACCGTTGAGCCTAAATACTGTGCCAAAGATAAACACAAACAAACAAAGGATGAAACAATGAATGACATTTTGAAGTTTTTGTTTTTTTTTTGCGTTGCGGCATTATTGGTGTTAAATGACTTAAAATAATGATTAATTGCCGAACTTATTAGATTATTGGAATTTCTTAAAAATCGAAAAGAAATGACGGCATTTCTTTTCATTCTTTTTTGGTTATTTAGACATTTGGGTGAAAGTCGTATATTTTGCATTTTCGAGGAACCCATAATCCATGTCAAGGATTGGGGTCAAGTTGTTTTTATAAAAAAATATACATACAGTGAGTGTAATAAGTATTTTGCCTCAATACAAATTTCTCAAAATTCCAATATATACGCCTAAAGCCAGCGTACCAAAGATGTAAAATGAATTATGTATGATGGGATATGTTTGTGGACATATTTAGGTCTTATTTCTGCAAGACTCACTGCGAAAGACCTATTGATCTAGAAGATATCGGCCAAAATCTATAATAACCCAAAAACGATTATCACAAAAAAGTATTTTGCTTTTTATTATCATTTTTGAAAAAATCAGTATATAACACACTCTTTGTCTTTTTATAGTTACCATTGCGGGTATCCACATACTATAAGCGAATTGGCGACGATTCCGAAAAACCACGGCATTTTTTGCGAATATTTTCTCACATTTACGTTCAATACATTCTCCAGCAATATTTCATTTAATAGTTGGTAATTTTTCGTGCTAATCTCAAAATGAGAGTATTAAATATAGTCGTCGCGGCTTCAAAACATCCCAAATAAGTTTAGAATAATAAAAAGGAGGTTTTGCAAAATATATCGCGAGGACAGGACCTTAAAAACTATTAAAACCAAAATCCGACAAACAAATTATTAAAAAAATACCGCGAAATCCCATTTTTCTGACTTTGAAAACTTTATGGTCCATTAATATTTATCTAGGAACCAATATATGCGATGGAAATAGCAATATGGAGGTCAGATTCAAAGATATGGACAGTTCTAAAACAACAGAAACTACAAAGCAGTACATGAATTTGGGAGAAAACATCATTCTTCGTCAGATACTATTGCGTTTTGAAAACCTGTGGTAGCAGGTGACGAAGACGCATTCAATATTTTACATCCGTTTAACACCGTCAGTTGCAAATAAAATGCAGCAGTAAATAAACTGGTCGATATATTTATTTTCGAAATAAGATGTATTTCTATTGCCACAAAACCGTTCATATCTTTGAATCTGACCTCCATATTGCTATTTCCATCGCATATATTGGTTCCTAGATCAATATTAATGGACCATAAAGTTTTCAAAGTCAGAAAAATGGGGTTTCGCGATATTTTTTTAAATAATTTGTTTGTCGGATTTTTGTTTTAATAGTTTTTAATGTCCTGTCCTTGCGATATATTTTGCAAAACCTCCTTTTTGTTATTCTAAACTTATTTGGGATGTTCTGAAGCCGCGACGACTATATTTAATACTCTCATTTTGAGTTGAGGACGATAAATTACCAAATATTAAATGAAATATTGCTGGAGAATGTATTGAACGTAAATGTGAGAAAATATTCGCGGAAAAAATGCCGTGGTTTATTGGAATCGACGCCAAACCGCTTCTAGTATGTGGATACCCGCAATAGTAACTATAAAAAAGCAAAGCGTGTGTTATATAAAGTTGTTTTCAAAAATAATAATAAAAAGCAAAATACTTTTTTGTGATAATCATTTTTGGGTTGGTATAGATTTTGGCCGATATCTTCCAGGCCAATAGGCCTTTCGCAGTGATTCTTGCAGAAATAAGATCTAAATATGTCCACAAACATATCCTATCATACATAATTCATTTTACATCTTTGGTACGCTGGCTTTAGGCGTATTTATCAGAAAATTTTCAAATTTGTATCGAGGCAAAATACTTATTACACTCACTGTATGTATGTGGGTAATTTGGCATTAATGGAGAAGATATACAAACAACTAGGGATTTTTTATGGATTTCAGGGTTGTATCGGTTATTACTCAACATAAAATTAATTGCGAACGTATTGTTATATACATATGTACAAATGTATTTAATATACATATCACCATAATTTATATATTCAAATTGGGAGGGAATCAACGACAATTCTACTTACATAAACTTCATATTTTATTTGATCATTGAGCAAATCATTTGCTGAATGACGCCATTTTGTGCGTAAATTATCGGGTAGTCCCAATAGCAATTCCGAGGGTGCACGTATCTCCAGCGATTGGGCTGAAGTAGGAGTTTGTTGGGTGGCCTTTTGGGTAGGGGGTGGTGGTGCAGGTCTAAAACAAAACATCAATTAATACAATATTAAAAAAAACATTTTCGGATTTACCTATTCTTCCGATATCCTGTTGCCGATTGTCGTTGAGCACCACCGCCAGATGTAGGAATTTTATTGGTCTCGTTATTTTCTCCCAGTGGGGTTTTTGCAGATTTCGGTTCACGCATTTGTTTAATAAAGGCAATCGATTGCAAAATACGTCTGCGGTGACCCAGTTTATTAATTTCCAATACCGTTTGCAATTCTACATCCCAAACGCCACAGACACTATCCAGGGTATTGTAGAGGTGCTTACTACAAATAGTAGAGAAATTAAACCAGTAAGGAAAGTAGTAAAGTCGGACTGAGCCGACTATATGATACCCTTCACCACTTTGGGTATATTCTACATATGTATCCTAATAGACGTCGCGTTTTTGTTATATATCTATATCTGAACCGATTTCAGGGAAACTCGTCAGAGACTAATTTATATTACTTCAGTGCGATGTGTCAATCGGCCTAGCTATGGATCTTTTCATGAAGCTTAGCAACATCATTCTAGACTTAAGTCAGTACCCTATACCAAAATTCGTGCAAATGGAACGATATAGGGTCTTTGATGAACCAATTACCTTAAATCGGGTGAAAACATATATGAGAGCTATATCTAAATCTGAACCGATTTTCACGAAACTTTGCACACATCATTCTATACTTAATTCAGTACGCTATGCCAAATTTCGTGCAAATCAAATAAATATGGGCGTTGGTGTACCATTTACATTAAATCGAACGAAGATATATATGGGAGCTATATCTAAATCTGAACCGATTGTCACGAAACTTTGCACACATCATTCTAGTATTAATTCAGTACGCTATGTCAAATTTCGTGCAAATCGAAGGATATATAGAGACTTTGGTGCACCATTTACATAAAATCGGACGAAAATATATATGGGACCTATATCTAAATTTGAACCGATTTTCAAGAAATTTTAAACACATCGTTCTAGACTTGATTCAGTACGCTATGCCAAATTTCGTGCAAATCGAAACATATATAGGTACTTTGGTGCACCATCAGACGAAATCAGACGAAAATATATATGAGAGCTATATCTAAATCTGAACCGATTTTCAGGAAACTTAACACACATCATTCTAGACCTAATTAATTACGCTGTGCCAAATTTTGTGCAGATCGAAAGATATTTAGGGACTTTGACGCACCATTTACCTTAAATCGGACGAAAATTTATATGGGAGCTATATCCAAATCTGGACCGATTTCCAGGAAACATAACACACATTATTCTAGTCATAATTCATTACGCCATGTCAAATTTAGTGCAATCGAAAGATATGTAGTGACATTGGTACACGATTTACCTTAAATCTGACGAAATATATATGGGAGCTATATCTAAATCTGGACCGATTTCCAGGAAACTTAAAACACCTCATTCTAGACATAATTTAGTACGCTGTGCCATATTTCGTGCAAATCGAACGATATAGAGGGACATTGGTACACCATTTACATTAAATTTGGGCCAAGTAAGTGACCTGTGCCAAATTTCATCCAAATCGGATCATAAATGCGACCTGTACTTTGTTCACAAAAATACATGGACAGACAGACGGACGGACATGCATAAATCGACTTAAAAAGTGATTCTATGCATATTCTAAAAAGGAACCATGTGTCTATCTCGTTTCCTTTTGCCTGTACCACAGTGTGGTGAAGGGTATAAAAATGGGAAAAATATCTTCCTTGACAACACTTACTTGAAAGAATCGATATACTGGGGTAGTTGTATGGCATTCAGCCACTGATTAAGGGAACCCACACCCTTCACCTCGTTACTTGTTTTATTTTCCTGCTGTGAACGTAATGGAACTTGTGACGGAAATGCCGCCTTGGGTAGTGTTGCCACAAATCTTAGTAACTTGGCACCATCCTGTTTGCTAATTTGCATGGTCTCCAGATCCCCCTCCTCTAAAACACCATTCTGAAAATGGAAACAACCAGTGAATATCGCAAAGGTGTAGGTTTAATCACTTCTCTTACCATATACTTATAATTATCATAACCATGTTCGAGTAGCTTCTTTTCCAGCTGACCCAGTCCAGCCTTCCTCAAACGACTTGTCAACTCCTGACGCTCAACAGGAACTTCAATATCATCGAAATCCAAATCATTGGTAGGCGAAATATCCGAATTCAAAATACTGCTACCAAATGATTCCAAAATTTCCGAAATCTTTTTGCGCGCCTCCTCGGCATTGAAGGGACTTAGAATGCTGCTTTCGTGCGAGGTTGACGAGATGGTGGTGTTGTTGTTGGTCAACGAACTATCCTCATTTGAACTCTCAGTGGTGGTTGTTGTCGGTTGAGACGAAGTAGTTTGTGTTGTCTGCGATTGATCTTCAATCGATGAACTATTCACCGAACTCTGATGACTCAGTAGGGTATCATTGGCATCCGACTTAGCCCCCTCCTTAGTTTCCCCTTTCGTTTCATTAACTTTTGGAATGTTATTTTCTACCACAGTTTTGGGTTCATTCAATTCTTCATAGAGGTCATCCGAATCATTTGTCATTTCTTGATCTAAATCTAAATCGTTGTTTAACTCAGTCGTTGCCGATGTCTCCTGGCCCTCCATGTTGGGTACTTGGGGTGCCGACGCCTTAAATAAACGTCTCTCGGGTATAATTGGTTTGGCGGGTATTGGTGGTCTGGCCTTGGCCGCCACATTTGGTTCATTACCACAGTGGGCCGTCGTCGAGATGCCACGTTTCTTATGAATGGTCGCATAGACCGGCACCTGGGTATTTGGTGGCAATTGTTGTTGTGGTCTTGGTGGTGGTAGTTGAACTTGAGGTGGTTGCATTTTGGCGCTTTTATTAACCGTTGCATAGGCAGGTTCAATTTTCTTATTGCCATTATTCATGGCCGCCGTCGAGCCTTTAAGTAATCCAGCCAATGGTTGATCGCCAACGAACTCTTCAACATTATCGGTGGAACCACTATGATCGGATAGTGAGATACTAGAACTCAACGAACCCATGGAACCTCGAACGGGACCCGAACCAATTGTGGAGTAAATATTCGATGAAAGTGTATCCATGTTGGCAGCTGTTGTCTGAATATAAGCGTAATCGTAATTAGATGTTGGCTTGGGATTTGTGTTCGTATTCGAGTTGGAGTTCAATTGTTTGAGGGGCGATGTGCCGATGTCAATGAGTAATTGTTGTTGTTGCTTTTGTAATTGCAACAATGCTGAACGTCGTTTATATTCTTGGCTCAATGGTCGTATGCGTTCATGTATGACTTTCTCAGCGTGACTGGATGATGGTGGCGGATGATCAGGAGTCGGTGGTTGTCTGTAATTTGTTGGACTTTGTGGTATTTGAGGTTTATTCGGATCGTTTTCACTATTATCGCCCAGCGTTATCGAACTGAAAGGATAGCAAGAGGGAAAAGGATAATGAAGTAGTATTCTAAATTGAATTTAAAAATATTAACAGGTGTGGTTCAGAAATCTAAACTTGATATGGAAATATGGCAAGAATGTTACTTTATTGGAACTTTTAAATTAAAGGCATAAAAGTTTAATCGGTCTCTTTAAACTGATATAAAAATCGAAAATTCAATTCAATGATTTAGTGATCCAGAATTGTCTTCATAAATTTTGAATTTATATTTCTTTTTTAGTATACAAGGAAGTTTCGTGTAAAAATGGAAAGTATGATGGCAACATTCGAATATCAATTTCTTGTCTTTGAAGGTCGTATCAGAAATTTTAAGGGTGACATATTGGAACATATATATATATATATATAAATAATGACATGGCGTCAAAAATAAGTATACTTATCCCTTGCCAAAGTCCATTAGGGAAATAAAAAAAATATTTTTTTCCATATTGTGAACATAGAAATATCGACATTATACAAGATCTAAATAAGTATAAAACTTATTCCCAATATTTGTCAAAATCCTAAAAATCGAAATATCCGGATTTTCAATTAATCCGCTATTCTAAAAACAGATCTATATATATATATATATATTATTTTGGAAATAATAGATGAATGCTTTAACTGCATTTGCATACAAACTTGGCATTATTTGTGGGAACTCATACGTTGAAGATTTTCAATATAGGGGAATGTCTTGATATATAACAAGATCTGAAAACACAATAGGAGCCGAATAATAATATAGCTAGTGTAGATACGTATTTTCAACCAATTTGGCTATAATCTTTATACCCTCAGCCTACACTTTGATACGGCAAAAATGTGCCTCGCCAAAGAAACATGGGGCCTAAACCATGTTTCTATGGGCCAAATCCGTTTCAGACCATTTACAAATGTCCATCCTCTCGAAGGGATTAACCGATTTCATCCAAATTGCTAATATTTCGTGCTAATATTTCTACCAAACTTAGTTCAAGTTCGATTATGGGGAGTATCGGTCCACTCCATCTGGCACCACCCCTACAAAATTGGTCAAAATTGTGCTAAAAATTAATTTTATAATATCATGCGAATGGATAATCCGATTTAAACCAATATTTTTATAGCCTCCTTTGGTCAACTCCTTCTGGCGCCTCCCCCACAAAAGGTCAAAAGTCAAATATTTATAAATCCAATATCAAAAGAATAGAATGTCCGATTTGAACAAAACATTTCACAACATTGCTTCTGGTACCTCCCTCACAAATGGTAAAAATGTTCAATATTAGGAGAAAGGAATGTCCGATTTGAACCAACTATATACAACCTATTATCTTTGCCAAGCCCAGATTAAGTCCGAAGTTGGGACCCGTCTGATCAACATTAAATTCGAAACGTCTTTGATAAAAACATATACCTTAAGGGAACCACACCCATTCTCGCAAGATTTTCTAAAGATACCAATGCTTGTTAAGGTTTGTAACTTTGCACATATATATTTAATAGATTTAAAAGAGAAGAAAAATAATTTACAAAAATTTTTTGTTATTGCCTTATTTTTGATGGCGGGCATGATAACTCCTCTGGAACATTGCGAAAATTCCAACGGTGTTAGAAAGAGTACATGTCTGGCTCTCTTATGAACTAGGATTATTGACTTCGCTCTAAAATTAACAAAATGGCGGACCTTTGAAAAAATATTTTTGGAAAATCGCCACAAAAACCTTTACCAATTGGCCTAGATACGAAGTCACAGAGAAACGTATAAAAATTTGAAATCGATTGGGTTATTAGTTTTTGAGTTATCGTGCCCGCCATTCGCCAAATAATGTTTAGAAAAAACGCGTTTAAAATTTGAGAAGCCCTTTAGCCGTCACTTGATGCTGACACAATAAATCGGCTATATCTTCAAGAGTTCTTGAGATTTTCACTTGAAATTTTGTAGAGAAATAAAAACATAAGTCAAAAAAATAACTTAAATAAAACAAATAATAAAACCTGTATGTAACTCCGAAGAACTCCTCCGCAAATCATAGGCTGAGAGTAAGTATCTGTCGGTAACACCGACTGACACTTTTTTACTTGTTTATTTAATATTCTTATTAGGTAGAATATATTCCCACTAAAAATTATCAATATTGGCATAAGATTACGGAAAGCACCCATTATTCGGTATTCTGGAGGGATTGAATTAATAATCAAGCTTAAAAATATTTAGATATTATTATTTAAATCCTCATAAAATTATTTTGAACCTCAAACACCTGTTTATAAGCATAGGTACGGCTAAATTTTGCAAGGACATGTTCTACCTACTCAAACCGGTTGGAAAAGTTTTGCAAAATCTTCTACAATCTTCTAACTTCTATGCAAATGTTTTGAGTGACAGTTTTTGTTGTAGTTCTCCCAAAGACCTACAAAAAGACGGAAAATTTTAATTATTATACTCAAAAAATAATAATTTTTTAAATAATGGTCAATATTTAAATTAGACGAATTATTTATATTGTCATCAGGGCAACAGTTTTTTTCGCAACTGCCCCTGGAGCATAAGCAAGAAACCATATTCTCAAAACCCGTTAGGGAGGAATCTAGGCACAATAGAATAATGCCCTTTCATAAATTTCAATTCCCTATGCTTCAAATATCTCATAGCAATTTCTAATATCCAAACCATTTCATAAACATCCCGCCACACTATCCATCTCCAAATTCCGAGCGACTAGAACATCTAATAAAAAAACAATTGTACTTACTAGCTATTACGATTCCTTTTCAATTTTCGATTGGGATTATATGATTTCAATGTGGAATTGTCACTACTTCCCGTCTCCGTTGAAATATTATTTAAATTTCTTGGTGCTGGTTTTGGTCTCTTCATTGAATTGCTGATGTCCTGATTAGAATTTGGCACAAGATTTTCTATATCACCCATGTGATGACGTTTCTCTAACATGTCGGCTAGAAAAAAAAGAATAGAGGATCAATTAATAAGATTCGTATTAGAAGATTCACTTCGACTTACTACTTGAACTTAATGATATTCCGGCTGAGGATCTTGTGGTTTCCCGCGCACTGGCAAACAAACGGCTGCCTCTTTGGCGATCACATAGTTGAGATTCATCAAAACTCATACCACTAACACTGCCATGCGAGAAGGGGCTGTCATTGGAGGGACTACGTGTTTGGCTGCGACTAAAATTGTTTTGCTGTTGTTGCTGCTGCTGATGGTTGGGTGAAGTGTAGCTAAAGGGTTGGCCACTGTTTGTCGGCGATACCGAAAGATTGCGGCGTGGTGGTTTTTTAGGTGGTGCCGCTGGACCGAAGCTACTCAGTGCTGGTGGATTACCAACAAAGCTGGAAACACCACCTAGAAAGAAACAAAGTAAATAAATATATGGAACACAAGTAATATTCCCAATAAATGTCTGTAAATACCTGTGGAACATCTTGATCTAGGTGAAACCGATGAAGGTTCAAAACTGCTCATTGAAGACGAAGGACTGACACCCATTTCACTGAAATCCAAAAAGGAAAAATTATTACTCCTTATCACATATATATTTCTACTTCGCCTTACTTTTGTGATGTATTCGATTGACTGCGTACTGGCGAATTCAACGTGTCATGATAGAAACGATTTCCTCCCCCACTTTGACCACCACCTCCACCAGTTCCGGTACTACTTGACGTCTCATCCAGCTGCAGACCACTATCCAATGACTTACCACCACCATTAAAGGTGGCACCGGAACTAAATCGTTGTTTGCTATACGAAGACTGTTGCATCGATAGGGAATGATTCAGAAGATGATTATTCGAATTGAAGTGGTAGTGATTGTTGTGTTGTTGCTTTTGATGGTGGCTGCCCGTGGTGCCACCAGCATGATTCCGTGTCGTTGAATTCGATTGCTGCTGATGACGATATATCACTTCGTCTCCATCGTCGGTATCCATTTGATTGCGGAAATCTAAAAAGTCAAAGACAGAAAATTATTCCATATCCCCCTTGCTTCCCTATCGTACTTCTCCTTCCCCTCCACTTACTATTTATAACATCGATAATGTGTTTGGTAACATGCGGTGGAAATTCCTTTAAAATATCCAATACCGTTCGATCTTCAGCATCGGTGGCATTTAAATCAATTCCAGACTTCAGCAGAGTTCTCACCACTGATTCCTTGCCACACAAAGCAGCTTCATGCAATGCCGATCCAGATGGTGTGAGCAGGTTAACATTGACTCCCGAACCTAATAACACCTCAACAATGGCCTTGTGACCATTTCGACTAGCCAAATGCAGACAGGTATGAGAAAACACACATCGATTGGGGGTGGCTGGTGACGAGGGTGAGGGTGTTGACATTGAACCTGAATGTGGCAGAGGTGACGAATGTCTTGACCGATTGTTACTTTGATTTTCGGTGGCCTGTATGGTGTAGGGTGCCAATAGCTCGGGGTGAGCCCTTATCAAAATTTGTACTGCTTGCAGTCGGCCATATTGACAGGCCAAATCTAGTGGTGTTTCGCCCCGGGTATTTCTCATATTAGGATCAGCTTCGTGGGCCAGGAGTATTGACAATGCACCTGTGTGTCCGTGTTGGGCCGCGCAATGCAATGGTGTTTCCTTTTCGATAGTTTGCAAGTCAGGATTTGCAGGCCGATATGGATGTGTTAGCAGCATTTTTACAATTTCTTCTTCGCCCGCCCATGCTGCCAGGTGGAGCGGCGACGAACCTCTCATGTCGGGTAAATTTGGTGATGCTTCATGATTTAGCAGCAGACGTACAATATCTGTATGTCCATTTAGGCAGGCATGATGCAGAGCTGAATAGCCACCGCTATCTTGTACATTTACTCCTGTGCCTCGCCTTAAACTGGCCAATGGTCCCGCTCGTTTGGCCTTTTGGTTAAGTACTTTTTCAATATACGAGATATTGCCATTACGCGCCGCTTCTAAGAATTCCTGATCCTTTCCCATGTTGTTGCTGGTTGGTGAATGTTAGAGCCGCTAATGTTTTGTGGGGGATGGGGGCGGAGATAATTGTGGAATGTAAGTTGTGAGCGTTTCAGTGATGTCGAGTTAAATGTCGTTAATGGTTATCTGTAAGAAACAAATTTGTATTGAATTCAAAATTCAGTTAAGAGTATTCCAAAGACCTAGATTCACGACTACACTAATGAGACGAAAAAGGTTTATTTCTACATGGCAAAGTTTATAAGAAGGAAATTTTCTAAAAACCATTTTTAAAACTAGGATCTTAGGCAACCAAAAAAATTATATTTCCTCTCCGAGGAATTTTTCGCAGAAGCTCCAAAATTGTCTGTATTTAGGGTGCATATGGTTGATGATTAATAGTACCAGCGACTATGCCATCGCGTTATTCAACAATTTTAAGGATTTGATAGAGCAAGTTCGAAACCAGCAAGAAAAGATCGAAAGTCGGACTGGCCGACTATATGATTCCCTCCATCACTATGGGTAGATACAGGAGGGGCTCCCAAGATTCCTATTTTAATATGCAACTAGCAGACAAAAGAACCAACTGTGAAGAATAATCTCGACTTAATCTTTCGAGACATCTAGGGACTCGAACTCTAATTCCGAGTCAAATACTAATGCAAATTTGCAGGTAAGGTAAGATGGTGGAAGAAGTGAGTAATGAAAAGCTATTATCTAGTATTATTTGCGAAGAAAAACTATTATTTTGGGCTCTAAGGCTACTCTCACCACTTTTTCGGAAAAGGAAATTAGATATCCTTTTGAGCCAACTCGAAGTCAAAAGAGGCAGCCATGGGAATCCGTGGACAGAGGGTGACAAAATTGGCTCTGTTATCTGATACTGACTTTCGTATACAGAGCTCTGCAATGGAATCTTCTGTAAATAGTGGGAATCCCAAATGGATTAACGGAACTGCACAAATTACAAAGTGGAGCCATTTTACGCCAAGGTAGCCAGAAGACGAGCTCTGCTATACAATAATCTACGAGAATAGCACGTCCAGCGAACTTAGCAATGAGATCCACAAAAAGTTATTGAATGTAGTCAATAACAATATCTTGGATCACCTCTTGCAAGTTATAGAGGAAGTTATAGATCTGTCCAGGTGCGATTTCAAGGAGGATTACTGACAACAAGTATATAGGCCTTGTAAAAAGTAGTCCCCTCAACTGAAGGTAACCGCACTTGTTAGAGATTTTGGACACGTTTTCGAACTGAATTCTTCATTCTCATTGGCTGTCAAATCTCACTACCAAAAAATATCAATATTAATCTCCGTTTTATTACAGCCCCATATAACGGTAGCCCCATAATTAGATATTTTGAGTATTTCAATAAATACTTTTTTCTTGTATTTTTCGGTATGTTTAAGGTCCTATAATAACATGGGTTTTCTCCTAGGTATAAAAGGGTATAAAAAGTTCGGCCGGATTGAACTTAACATAGTTTTTACTTGTTTTTGAATATCTTGTTTTAAAACCAGTAAGGAAATATTCGATATGCCGACCTATATTGATACCCTTTTTTTGGGATTTTTATATGTATCCTAACAGACGAATATATATAGGAGGTGTATGTAAATATATATCGGAGGTGTATGTAAATCTGAACCAATTTTCACGAAACTTAATACATATCATTCTCAAGTTAAATTATTACGCTATACCAAAATTCGTACAAATCGAAAGATATATATGGTCTTTGGTGCACCAATTACCTTAAATCCGACGAAAACATATATGGGTGCTATATCTAAATCTAACCCGATCTCCGCGAAACTTAGCACACATCATTCTGGACTTAATTCAGTAGGTTATATCAAATTTAGTGCAAATTGAAAGATATATAAGGACTTTGGAACACCATTTACCTTAAATCGGACGAAAATATGTATGGGAGCTATATCCAAATTTGAACCCATTTTTTCCAATTTCAATAGGGTTCGTCCTTGGGCCAAATAAGTGAGCTGTGCCAAATTTCATCCAAATCGGATCATAAATGCGACCTATACTTTGTTTGCAATTTAACATCAACAGACGGACGGATGGACTTGCATAAATCGACTCAGAAAGTGATTCTATGCATATTCTCAAAAGGAACCATGGGTCTATCTCGATTCCTTTTGCCTGTTACATGATCTATATTAAAATTTTATGGAAAATAGTTTATACCATCCTTCTACAACGACATCTAGAGGAGATGTTGGTCAAATTCGGAATAAAAGCGACTTTTGACGTTTAAACTGATTTTTGAGTTTTGTTCTATTCTGAGACTCATAGAAAACTTTATGGCGAACGTTTTGTAGAATATTCTGACCTGCTATTGCCCTGTTTTATATGGGTTTTCAATAACTTTGGAAAAGGGTACCAAACAAACCCTACAGAGAGTTGACGGAAGTTTAACGTATCAGACAAACATATTCCTCACATTTATATCAGTAAAATGTGAGAAATCTTAATTCGTATATTTTTAAATATTTTGGAAATGTCATTAAATTTCCCCACCTAAAATATGCAATTTTTAAAGACAAAAGAAATCCATTATGCCCAAAATTTTCCTTGCATGAATATTTTCATTGAAAATTCCACACAAAACACAAAAAAGCAACAACAGTTTCCTTTCATCGCCATCAAGTTTTACTAAATACCTTGCCCTTGGCCACAAGTACTTTGTTCCGTATCTTGAAGTGACTTAAAGTTGATTTATGACACTCACTCTCCCTCAAGTGCATTCATTAACTATCAAGTGCATCTTTGTATGTCTGTGTGTGGGTGTGGAAATGGTGAATAGATTGTCTCCACCGTTGTCGTCCTCTTTGGCGGTCTTGGTCTTTTCATTTTCTTTCAACTTTGTTTAGAGGTAAGCCACATAACTAACCGACACAGCACGCGATTAAAACGAGAGGGTAGTTGGTTGCATTCATTTACGGCTGGCTTTTCACACGCCACACCATGGCTAGCGATATTATCTACATAGTTTCTAATCTGTGTCTTCTTCTTTTTCGTTTTTTGCGAGATAACTACTACGACTGACTGGCTGACAATATATCAGATTTATGTTGTTGGCCCCCACCCTTGGCTATTGTAAGAAATTAATTGCCATCATAATCTCTGCAGTATCTGTTGTAGTTGTTTTTTTGTTTAGTTCACAGGTGAATTATCAAAAAGAGACTTTGTTTTTTTTCTGTTTTGTTTGCAAATCATAATCGCAATAATAACGAATGGATGTGGGGGAAATAATACGTCAAAGGTAATGCTTTGGAATAAAAAGAGAAATTGTAGCACAGATAAACAATTGCGAATTCATCTCTGGTAACAATTTAATGCGAAATAATGTTGACGGCATCATTTCCATTAACGAGACATAACCAAGAGGGAAATTAAAATTAGTTGCTAGTTTTATGAGATTTAGGGTGTTGTAAGGACGTGGAGGGTTGTAAGTTACGCGATAAATAAAGCATTTCAGTTCCACAAATAATAGAGAAGCGTAAATTTTCCATATCTTGCTTCTATTCGCCATCCATCCACTATAAATGGCGACAAAAACTGCAGACAAAATTTCTCAAAACCTACAAAATACGACAAATATTGACTGCAACAGTAAAATTCCGAAAAACGTTCATCACCTGGCAAAGTAGTAAAAAATTACTGTTGATACGTCTAACCACAGAACAAAATAAAGTTAAACCATATAAACTAAGCAGTATGCTGTGCAAACTGTAGTGTCAGTCGAACAAACTAAAACACGAGAAAACCAGTGAGCGGAGCAGTATAGTCGGACGGGGCCGACCATATGATACCATACACAACTTCCAAGAAAATATAACATTCTGTGGTTCTATATTCTGATCTTGGACATTATTTCGCGATATTTGCACCCTCTTGACCGTAGAGGTCAACAAATATTACTAATATTCAGTACAGCCCTTCTAATTACTTGTGCAGATTCCCTTCACCGTGGGTTGTTTTGTGACGTTCAGCTTTCAATTGTGGCTATAGATCGACTTGAAAAACACAAAAAATTAAGTTTTCGGTCCACTTCATCCCAAAATTATTATCTGATTATCATTGCAAATTATAAGCGTTGTCCTTGACCTTAATCCTCATGGAAAATTTCAAAGCGATCAGCGCTATATTTACGCCCTCTAGTGTGGTAATGGGTTACGAAATAATATCTGAATACGTAAGCACCTGTAAGTATTTAAGTGCAACTCCCACATCTGAGTACATACGACAATATAATTGGTATCAATTTAAAGGTCAACCACTCCTCTTGGATATACTATCAACTTCTCGGGTCTATGTCCTTCAGGAGTAAACATATAACCTATAGAATACAAATTCTGTCATTTTTCACACAAAAGTCGGGGTCCATTTAACCCGCTAAATGTTGACCGACCTTTATGAAAACAGGCACTCTTATTCTTTGGCCTGATTCCCTTCTCCATGTAAAATATCGCGATGTTCGGACCATAATTGCGGCCTCTAGAGTGACCAGAAACACCGACAAAAATCAATTATTCGGTCCATTTCATCTCCTAAATATTAATTGGCCAGAACCCATTCTACATGCAAAATTTCGTGAAGATTGGTCCATAACTGTGGCCTGTATCGTGTTTACAAATTATAATGGACGGACGGACACACTTGTCTAGATCGACTCAGCTAGTCGAGATATGACGATCGGTATACTTAAAGGTGGGTCTAGGACCAATATTTCGCGGCGTTACAAACTTTTGGGGCTGCACAAATCTATAATACCCTGACATCATAGTTGTGTAGGGTATAAAAACGTTTCGTTCATAATTTTCAATTTTACTAAAAAAGTTTGAAAATTTATAAATATTTTCAAGCTGACAAAATTAATTTATTTTCGATAAATGCTCTCAATTGTTAGGGATGGGACAAATTTCTTGGTTATTCAGAGAGTGATTCGAATTGAACAATGTACAAAAGTCAGTGTTCGATCAGAAATTTTTG